GAGCATCCGTATCCATGAATTTTTGAGAGTATTATTAAATATAAAATTATTAAAAACACACTCTCTCTTCCTTTTACTTAATTTTATACCTTCTCTTTCATCCTTTTACTCAACTTTTATTAATTTTATACTCTCTTTAAATATAAAATTATTAAAAACACACTCTTTCCCTCTTCAAAAGTATCAACTATTTGATACTCTCTCTCTCCAAAAATACCCACTATCTCTTCTCTTTACTCAAATTTATTAATTTTATATTTTAATACACTCCATTATTTCAACCAAAAACACTCTCTTTCTTCCTTTTATTCAAATTTTAATAATTTTATATTTAATGATACCCACCAAAATTCACAAATACTTAGCAGTTATTTTCTGGGAAATCACAAAAAGAAAAAGGACCCCAAGTCTCCTAGTCCTTACCAAATTAGGATAAATCCCCTTTTAAATACGAGAAACCTTATAACTCCACATTCCACATTCAGATACAAAAAAACATTTTTTTTCTCTGATCGAATCCTCTCTTAAACGATGAATTCTCCATCGACAGAGATGAACGAAGACACGATTCTAGAGATCCTCTCTTATTGTCCCGCGACGGAGATTGCAAAATTCCGACAACTAAACAAAGCATGCAACAAAAGAAGTTATGAGTTCTATTTCACAACTTGTCATCTTCCAAGAACCAACTCTGTTTTCGGTTATCTCATCCAATGCTCCAATAGAGAGTTTAAGTATCGCTCCAGTTTTGTCTCCGGCGTCGAAGAAGAAACTCCTGAAAAAACCATAATCTCTCTCGACTTTCTCCCTTCGAAACATGTAAAGATCGAAGCTTGCGATACACGCAATGGAATTTTGCTCTGTGTTGATGAAGATAAATATGAAGGAGGAAGACGAATACCAGATTACATCGTTTGCAAACCAGCTACGAAAGAGTACCGGATTATACCTAACCCGAAAACCCGGTATTTCACTGTTGTAACCGGTTTAATGGTGATTCAATCGGATCCGTTTCGGTATAAGATCGTTAGGGTTTCTGAACCAATGAAACACGAGAGAAGAAAGATGAAGGAAGGCTGCTATAATCTCAACTGCGAGGTTTTCGATTCTGATTCGTTCGCGTGGAAACGATTGAATGATTTGGAACTACCGAGATACGAGTTTATCCGAAGATCTGATAAACCGGTATCGTCCTATGGTTTCTTGCATTGGTTAACGACAGAGAACAATGTGATCCGGTTCTGTATGCGAACCGAAACCTGGTCTTTCTTCCCGGTTCCAGTCGGTCTAGTAAGCGATGGGTCTCCTCCTCTAGCTTTAGTGAGATACGAAGGAAAACTAGGATTATTGGTGAGTTCGAGAGGAGGAGAAGATGACGATTTATGGGTATTAGAGAACAGTTTTGGAAAGTCATGGATAAATGTGAAAGATGGGAAAATTACAAGGTCACAAGGTAGTAGATATGTTGAACCTATATGGTTCGTGAGTAACGACGTCGTATCCATGGCGGGTTTTGATAGGCTCAGTCTATACAACATGAATAGCAACAAGTCTAAACATTTGCATATGAACAAGACTCAAGATTTCTTCCTTTCATATTATCATTCGCCCAAAGATTGTTTTATCCCTTTCTACTCTAACTACGACACTGTTGGTTTGAGTAAAGATTCAACAGTTGTGAACAATCAGGCAAAAGGAAAGAGAGTAAAGCCAAATATGCTCAAGAATAGGAAGAAAAGTGGAAAATTATTCTCATCTAAGTACTTTATTTTCTTGTTTCTTTTTTTCTTACCTCTAATATTTAATTTTTTTTTATATACATGTTGTTACAATTAAGATGATTAAGTTTATATTGAACTTGTAAAATACTATTATTACGTACCTTTTTCGTTCTATTTAGCGTAATTACTAAATGATCAGTTTGCCTCTAAAATTACATTTTGTGAACATGGCGTATATTAAAATACATTCTAGGAACCATTTTCAAATTCAGATCATTGTCGTTCCGCAAAATCCAGTTCTATATCTAAAAGAATCAGGCAGCAGTTACAAAATTTGCTACGAAATCGTTTCATGGTTTCTTATATATATACATATTCTCATTCAATTAAAGTTCTAAGAACTAAGAACTAGTTCTCAAATCTCAAATCTTCTTTCATGGTTTTTTCTGGTTTCAATTAAAGTTCTAAGAACTAATTTTTTTTTTTTAATTAACATCATTCTAAGAACTAATTATCAAATCTTCTTTCATGG